TTTACAGAAAGTCCATTTCAGAAATGTACACAGAAAAAATTCAGTTATTAATCATGTATTAATTTAGGGCGCAACATATCGGCGGCGTTGACCGTTGAGTCATCTCTTCACAGGCGTCGAGTCGTCTCATCGCGCATCTGATGTCTCCGTGAGAGGCTGGATACAAACTGGATACTACAAAACTAATAATAGAGGTGGTAAAACCGAAAGCCACATGATGATTAATCCCAAATTCATCCTAAGTGGCCTGTCCATGAAACATGATCAATACTCGAGTTTAGACGGTTCACAGGGTAACACATGACGTCAAAATTAGGTAATAAAACATGACTAATTCTTAGTAAGATAAAACAAAACAATTCATTTGAAAATGCGTAATGTTTCACCTGGGGCCTTTTGGGAATGCAACTTTATTTTTCTCTCTATAAGTTATATATTAATTTTTATTTGCAAAAAAAACATAAATTTGATAGTATTTTACAGTAAAATTAATGTGATGTTAACCCATTTTTCGTCATATATTGCATGTTACGGTAACTTACAGTTAACCAAATAACAGATTTTTACTGTAAAAAATTACCAACATTTTTTAGAGTCTGGCTTTCTTTGCCAGATTCATCAAAGAGATCAGCATTTAAATGGTGCGGTTTAAGAGCTTACTGGAGAGTCCAAACGTGAGCAAACACACACACACATATAGCAAACAGGGCATTCATGTAGTCAAAAGAGTGATTGTTTCGCACTCAGCTCAGCAGAGCTGTGTAGGAGGCAAACGCCACTGAGTTGGGATCATTTCTGTTCCTGCAGACACTTAACGGCTAGTTTCAGCTTCCCAAACACGGATGTAGTTGTAAATGCAAAATTATTACACCGAACAGGAACAGGATTCCCCCTTTAGTTTTTTCAGCTTGTGCTCTTTTTAGGTTTTCCTGCCCCACCCAAAATGAGATAAATCCATAAATAAACCACTGGAACAATCTTCTTCAGTACAGCCGGCTCTGAACTGTGAGCTCATTCAATGATGGATGTGTCAGACTGATTCAAACCAGTAACTCCTAAGTGTGTGAGTCTTTTTGAGTGATTGATTTAAAGAACCGAGTCATTTGTTTGCGAATCAGACTGCACAGGCCACACTTCTTGTGTTTTTGAATGCAGACTTATGAAAACGTGTTTCCTTCCCATAACTTTGCAGTACACATTCAGTTCGGACTGAAAGCTCACAAAACACTAATGTTCAAAAGTTTGGGGTCACTTTTTTGGGGAAAGAAATAAGCAAGTAATGACACAAAATTTCCATCACGATTTAAAAATATTAAGCACAAATGTTTCAACATTGATAATAAGACGTGCTTATCAAATCAATATGTATTATTATTTCTGATGGATTATGTGACCATGAAGACTAGATTATTGATGCTGAAAATTCAGCTTTGACATCAAAATATAAATAAATTGTATTTTAAAATTTTAAATAGTAATAATGAATCATTTTAAAATTGTTTTTTTTAAATAGTAGTAATGTTTTGCAATGTTACTGTATTTTTTAGATAGGCTCTATAGATTTTCCATATAGGGGTCACGATACTGAACTCACGATACGATATTATTGTGATACTCCAAGACATATGGTAAAAGGTTAACAAAAAAAGTACTGTTGATTAAATGCTAAATTTGATATTACGGATAATTGAGACACCTGAATAACAATATTATTGATTCTGAAGCTGAAATTAGTTATTGTAGAGGAATATGCTTGCACTCTTTCACTAATCAGATATATTTAAAATAATGTCGGCCACTTTTTACTGGCAACATCAGACATTTGGCATTATCAGGTCCCACAAATATTCCCTCATTGCATTATTTTACATTATATTCAAAATTCTATATAATGTAGTACTTTAACTTTGAAAACTTGGATTTTTTCTCACACAGTCATTTTTATATTAAGTGAACTATCCATGATACGTATTGTTGCATTTTTGTATTGCGATATATTATGTTGTTACACCCCTAGTATGTAATACTGTAAAAATTACATTTGTTTGTACAAACTGAGGGTTAAGTGATGAGTGGTACTTGTCATTTTTAAAAAAAAAAATGCATTTAACCCAGAATAATCATGTTTCCGTACATGCATTCTGGGTGTGCTGATGGTGGTGACATTCCTTGAGAATGGATGAAAAATATATATAGCCACATAAGTCATCAGTGTGTTGTACCACTCGCAGTCCAAGTCTTATCAGGTTGATGGATGGAGCAATGCAACATTCTGCACACCCCTGTTGGCCATTGTTTTCCCTCCTGTGTCATTTTCTGCCCTCTTAAATATTTTCATGACCTTTCTTCTGCCTTTCCTAGCACTGAAATCAGTGGCTTTTTTGTAATGTCCATAATGGGGAGGTATGGGTGAGCTGAAATCAATTGTTATTATATCTCTTATCATGCTTGCTCAGGGAATATTTTCCTCACTGTGGCATGCAGACTTATCACAAAACAGTTGCCATGGTGTGAAAACCCCATTATCAAACCTCACTCTCATGAAAAACAAGCAAGCATTTTAGTAACCTGTATCATCGGTATCTACATAGACGCGTACAAAAATACGCAAGCAGCTTTGTACGCAAACAAGCCGGATTATATTCCAAAAATAAACTACCACTTCAATGAACAGTTGACTCATCCATTTATAGGGTAGAGTTTGTATATTTGTCTCATTCCACATTCTTTGTTTTTGCATATTTGTGACACATTTGGCGTAGTTTGAATGGAAAGTCTGTTAGCGGGAATAAAACCGTAACCGAATACCTCCATTTTAATGCAATAGTCAACACATGAGCCCGTTACTAGGAAAACAAGACAATGCATTCAAAACTCAGTGAACAACATGTTATTTAAATGCAGAAATAGGTAGTAGTTTGCTCTTTTTTTGTGCTAAGCCACTAAAAGTTTAAAGGGATAGTTCACCCAAAAATGAAAAGTCATCAGACTCACCCTCATGTTGTTCCACACCTATAAGATTTTTGCTCATCTTTGAAACACAATTGAAGGTATTTTTAATGAAACTTGGGAGATATCTGTCATTTGAAAGACCATGCCACACTAAATCCGCTTCAAAAAGTTGATAAAGTTGTCCGAATGATATGATATATGCAGATTTTGGATTGGCTTCAGTTGGTCATGCATATTTGCTGCGTTGACCAAAAGACTTCTCCCTCACACAGAATTCCAGATTGAAAATGACTGTAAAGGAGTAGTAGTAGGAGTAAAGGAGTAGTTCACTTTTAAAAAAAACTTTTGCTGGTAATTTACTGTCATCCAAGATGTCCATGTCTTTCTTTCTTCAGTCGAAAAGAAATTAAGGTTTTTGATGAAAACATTCCAGCATTTTTCTCCATATAATGGACTTCAATGAGAACCAAACGGTTCAAGGTCCAAAAGACAGTTTCTCTGCAAACTGTAAACTGTTCAAAGGGCTTTAAACGATTCCAGACGATGAATAAGGGTCTTATCAAGTGAAACGATCGCTCATTTAAAAAAAAAAAAAAAAAGTTTAAGTTTTATAAGCTCAAATGGTCGCCTTGCTATGTTATGTTATTTTATTCGAACTCGTTTATCAAAATGAACAAACCTTTTTCCGAGTCAATTCGTTCATTTCGTTTGTTGAATGAACCAAATGACACGAAAAAAGAATCGTTCATTTTGATAAACGAGTTTGAACAGGAGAGTCACGAACACGCATCACAGAACAGAGCAAGGCGACCATTTGAGCTTATAAAACTTAAACTTTGTAAAAAAAAATTTAAATTACCGATCGTTTCGCTTGATAAGACCCTTATTCATCGTCTGGAATCGTTTAAAGCCCTTTGAACAGTTTGCACTGAAACTGTCTTTTGGACCTTGAACCGTTTGGTTCTCATTGAAGTCCATTGTATGGAAAAAAATGCTGGAATGTTTTCATCAAAAACCTTAATTTCTTTTCGACTGAAGAAAGAAAGACATGGACATCTTGGATGACATGGGGGTGAGTAAATTATCAGCAATAGTTTTTTAAAAGTGAACTACTCCTTTAATAAATATACCCATTTGTTTCTGCACCCGAGTCCTCGCATCTTGAATCTACCCATTCCATGACATAATATTGCATTAAAAATGTCATAATTTATGTTTAGAAAATGAACACATGTCAAACAGGTTGAGTAAATGATGACAGAATTGACAAGTTATTGACATCTCATTCGGTCTTCATTGGGCTATTCATGCGTCACTGAGGGGGGTTGGAGGAAGGGTGGGATTCCCAGACAGTAGAGAGCTAATGTGCAGTAATGCTTGGTTACAGATGTAAACATGTAAAGATGCCATCCCACGAGCCTCGTTTCGACTTAAAACCACATACAATTAAAATACAGCCACTCACAGACCATGAAATCGGGATATAAGGTAAAAACATGGATTGTTAATGTTATATGTGCCGCACAACTTTTATGTTTTGTCTTATTTATTGTGTTTATGAGATTGTGCTACATCGCCTTGGGCAAAGGTTTTCTGTGTGTGTGTGTGTGAGTGCGCGCCTACAGTCAAAACTCATTTGACTCACTTATTTTGCAACACATTTCCGGAAGACTTCAGGTAGAGGCCTGTTACTCTACAGTATGCCGGCCGCTAACCAGGTGTTGGCCTGTGATGACACATCATGGCACGTATTGCGTAATACATTCACACTTTCTCTAGCATGCAACACCTTAAACAGAATCTCACTAGTCTATATATTTTTGTGTGACAGTGAGAAACCTTTAACCTTATTTATTCTGAGCAATCAAGGGTCACGACCGCCTTTGAACGACATCTAAAAAAGATCATCTTCTTATCTTATCTTGAAGAATTTTAACAGCTCTGTCACGCAGTTTTGGGAGTAAAGGGTGTGTTCAGAAAAGGAAAAACCTTCTGATGTTTCCGAATCTTTCCTTAATTTAGTCTTCTCTTCTCTGTTTCCACCACAGCAAAAGAAGACATACCTGGAGCGCAGCGTTAAAGACGCGGAGGACAACATCAGAGAGATGCTGATGTCCAGAAGGGCCCAGTAAAACGCTCACACACACCCATCCACACGCAAAAAAAAAAAAAAAACTCATCACCTTTGTACACCGTGCCCTTACTTTGAACATGCTTGAGCATGTATTGGAGAATACTCGTGACAGTCATTTGTTAGCTGAATACAGGAAGTTTATTTAGGTTAATAGTAAATGAATGTTCTGTTGACTGTCTAACACTGACTCGTGTGTCTTCTGACACCTGAGCATTTAAGTTATTGATTGTTTTCTTTGACAGTTCTTAATGGGTTGTTTCTATGGTTTTGTAATAATACAAAACATTTTTTATGTAAGCAGGTGTTAATGTGGTAATAAAGGTGTTTAAAGACAGTAAATTCTGTGTGTGTGTGTCATAGAGGGCGCAGACAGTCGTTTAGATATGATCTGAATGATGATGTGTTACTTTAATTGCTGTGTGTTTTTTGGGGGATTGCCTCTACACAACTGGTTTCCGGTCAGTCCCCTCGGGACATCCTCTTTCCTCCATCTCGTCCACGTCTCTTTTCTTTTGATCTTAGACAATTGTTGCATAAGCCTGTGAAAACTTGTGTTTCAGGCTACAACCTAAAGCTGGAAAGAGAAATAGCCCAGACTTCTGTTTAAGTTTTCTCCAGACAGCGCTTCCTGAGTGTTCCTGTGTGCCTGTCTCAGTCCTGCGTGACGCTGATGTGTGTCTCCTTGAAATCCTCCTTCCTCAGTAAGGAGCTGAATTGCATAGATAAATAAATGGAGGAATTTTCTGTAAAGTTGAAATTGATGTGGTCATTCTTATGAAAGCCAGTGAGTTTCTGTAACTGGACTGTCACATCATTCTACTGTCAAATTCATTTAAGTGTGTTTACGTCCACTTTAAGTACATTTTCAGTTGGAGTAAAGCAACAATTTGTCATTTTGAGTGTCATTGTTGTATTATGTATATGCTATGAAAACAAATATTTGGAATTAGCTTTTTTATATTTTCAGTTTTCATTTTAGTAATTTTTCTTTTCTTTTTATTTCTATATAGCTTTAAAGATGTAGTTTACTTTAAAAAAATTTTTTGCTGATAATTTACTCACCCCCATGTCATCCGAGATGTCCATGTCTTTCTTTCTTCAGTTGAAAAAAAATTAAGGTTTTTGATGAAAACATTTCAGGATTTTTCTCCATATTAGGCATTTCAGTGGGAACCAAATTGTTCAAGGTCCAAAAGACAGTTTCAGTACAAACTGTTCAAAGGGCTTTAAACGATGAATAAGGGTTTTATCAAGCGAAACGATCGCTCATTTAAAAAAAAATAACAAAGGTTAAGTTTTAAGCTCAAATGGTCGCCTTGCTCTGTTCTGTGATGCGCGTTCGTGACTCTCCTGTTCAAACTCGTTCATCAAAATGAACAAATCTTTTTTCGTGTCATTTGGTTCATTCAACAAACGAAATGAACGAATTGATTCTGGAAAAGATTAGTTCATTTTGATAAATGAGTTTGAACAGGAGAGTCACGAACGAGAATCACAGAACAGAGCAAGGCGCCCATTTGAGCTTTAAGTATAAAACTTAAACTTTGTTAATTTTTTTTAGATGAGCGATCGTTTCGCTTGATAAGACCCTTATTCATCGTCTGAAATCGTTTAAAGCCCTATGAACAGTTTGTAGTTTGCACTGAAACTGTCTTTTGGACCTTGAACCGTTTGGTTCCCATTGAAGTCCATTATAGGAGAAAAATCCTGTAATGTTTTCATCAAAAACCTTAATTTCTTTTCGACTGAAGAAAGAATGACATGGACATCTTGGATGACATGGGGGTGAGTAAATTATCAGCAAAAGATTTTTTTAAAAGTGAACTACTCCTTAAACATTTTTTTTTGTAATGCCCCATCCCTCAAATTACTCCATGATGTCTTTTCATATAATATGCTATATCATCTCAAAACAATATTTCATGGGTTCATTTGGAAAAATATTCTTGAGACAGGGCGACAGAATCTGATCCTCAGGTTCACCCGGTTGGTCTGTTGTGCCCTCTAGTGGCCGCAGAAGTGAATATCGCAGCTCCACTAATGTCACATGTCCATTACTGCAATACAGGGGGGTCCAAGAGTACAATGGAAGATTTGCACCTAAGGTTTGTACTGCTTTATCTACTGAGCTCCATCTACCAGACCATTGTGTTTTCTTTAACCACTCTATTATTGAGATTTACACTTGCCAGTATAGATCACACTTCTTTTGAAGAAAATGAATTTATATAACTGTTCAAAAGTCTTTGCCCTGAAGAATAACCTCACATGTTGTGTTTTTGTGGGGCTCTGCCTGTGGTTCACATCCAAAGGAGACTTCCCATTGATCCATGAACACAGCTCCTGTTGTGTTCACACTGTCGGCCTTTTGATGAGCACAGGCAGGGGGGAGTAAAGTCCAGGACCAAGGGCAGATTATTAACCTGTGTAATCTGGTCCCCTTCTGTCTCTCGCAACTCCCATAAAACCAGCGCTCTGCAGCCAGCCGGGTCTCAGGTCTCACGTGGCCTCTGGGAGACAGCAGCACAGAGACCCGCACGTCCTCCAAGGGCCAATGAATCAGTCAGAACATGCAGAGGAGCTTAAGGTAAATATCCTTTAAGTATGGTGTCATTGTGGTGCATTAAAACTCTGATTTGGGTCACACTGCAGATGTTTATGTCAAGGAATATGTTTTGGTTGAAGATAAAGATTTGTGATGACATCACAGTAGAATTTAGTAATAAATAGTATAATAAAAGGTACAAATAAATAATAAAAAATATTAATATTGTTATTATTGAGTGCTAACTAATTCAAATCTGAATCCTGGCCTTTAAAAGAAGGCACAAATGTTCAGATGATGTGCACAAATGTTCAGATATGAGATGCAAACAATTGTGCCAGATTATTATTTCAAAAATTATTCACTCAAATGCAAGATACTATTAAAAAAATTTGAGTAAAAAAAGAGTAGGTAATATTTAATATTTTTATGGTCAAAGTTTTTTGCTTTTTGGCAATTTGAGTCAGTGAATGATCTGAATGAGTAAAAAGCTCTTCTTTTTTATATATATAAATCTGAATAAATAGTACTCTTATGTCATAGTTTTATGCTTTTGTTAGTTAAATGCGTGATGGATAGATTGAACAGTCCGTTCTGGTCCACTGATTTGATTGGATAAGTCACGTTCCTAGAGATATTATGTTTCTTTGCACTGTTTCCATCACTTTTCTAATTATTTTCTCAAACCAACGTTTAAGCTGACTATAAAACAGTTTTGCAAAAAATATTAGAGGTATTCTATAATTTATCTGAAGACCTTCAATGCAAAACCCTCTAAAAGCCACCTCTTATTTTTATCAGACTCCTATATGGTACTTGGATTCAACCCAAGTACCGATATTTCTGAATGGGTACAATGTGTCCAATAGCACCTGCATTGTTATTCATAGTGCCTTATTGCTTAATGATGAGTCGTGATATTTGTTGTTTTTCACCATGTTGTCTCAGGTTTAACACGTAATTGAGTAGTTAACTTGTCATGCGTATCAATGAAAAGTCTACCCTGCAAAAAACTGGGATGGAGCCAAACTAGTACATGCCACGTGTTACAGCCTAACTTATCACTTAAAAAGCAGAAAGAAAACGGAATTATATTGGAAATATTGAATTTTGTGCTTTTGGTGGGGAATTCTACTAATTATTTGGTTAATGGAGGCCGCTCATATTCACTATCATAGACTTTATTGGGGTCTGTTTGCTGTCTTTTGCAGTTATCTGTAGTTAAATATTAAATATTAAGTGATTTATAAATGTTAAATAAGAGAGAGTAACTTGCTAACTTTGAACTTGGCCTCTTTGAAAATGCTATCAGTGTCACTTTTTTCTTAATTATGTCATTTAAAATTGTTTAAATTCACTATTATTTTACAAACTATTATTTTTAGATATAGATATATACACACGGTATATCTGATACCAATATGCCAATGTGTTACTTATATACCACTTATTCATATTTTGAGTTAGCTTTTATTTTTATTTATTTTATTTATTTTTAGGTTTAATAATTTTAGTTCTTATATTTAACTTTAAGTTTTTCATATAATATTTATGTTTTATTTTAACTATTTATCTAAAAAATTACGAGTCAACCAATTAACTAACATAAACACAGTGAGCAATATATTTTTTACAGCATTTATTACCCTAATATTATTTATTATTAGTTAAAAAAAAATGTTCATGTTACTTCACAGTGCAATAACTAATGTTAACAGATAAAACCTTTGATCTTACAAATGTATTCAGATCAACAACAAAATGTATACACATTGTTCACTGTTAGTTCATGTTAACTAATGTAGAAAGTGTGACCTTTATTCTTGTTTTTAAGTATTTTTTTTATCGTTTTAGCTTTAGTTAACAATACAGCACTGATACCAATACATATTTTATTAAGTTTGGCCTTAATTGTCTTACAAATATAATTAAAATAGCTGTATACAGGCATGTGAAAATGGCTTTTAATAAAATACTAAACTGATTTATATATATTTATATATATATGTGTGTGTGTGTGTGTGTATATAGTACTATTGTCATACATGAATCATATGTTTGTTCTCCATCAGCTCCCACCTTCAGATGGAGTTGTTCCAGCAGAGGGTACAGAGCTACATGAGATGCCTGCTGACCTGGCCAAGACGTCTGATGGCGGTCCGAATCAGGTGGCGGGATTTGATATGATCTACAGAATCGAGGACGTCCCGCCTTGGTATCTGTGCATACTGCTGGGACTGCAGGTACACTTTTAACATTCTCACACTCTCTTCAAATCTGACTCACCCAATAATAAACCCTCCTGCTTCTGTAAACGTCCTGCCTGTGCATCTCCAGCACTACCTGACATGCTTCAGTGGAACGATTGCTGTACCATTCTTACTGGCTGAAGCCATGTGTGTGGGGAAGGACCAGTACACTGTCAGCCAGTTAGTCGGCACCATCTTCACCTGTGTGGGGATCACTACGCTCATACAAACTACGTTTGGTGTCAGGTGAGTTCACCTGTGTGCTTCAGTACAGAAATATGTGATTAGTTGTCACTGTATTAATGTGTTTCTGTACCATGATCAGGTTGCCTTTGTTCCAGGCGAGTGCTTTTGCCTTTCTCATTCCTGCCCAGGCAATTCTGAGGCTGGATAGATGGAAATGTCCTCCTGAAGGTACAATGTCACACACTGTGTGCATTTTTACAGTCACTATCAGTGGGAGAAGCTTTCAGACATATTACAATTGCACAAACCAAATATTAAACGGATAGTGAAAATTCGGCCATCATTTACTCACCCTCGTGTTGTTACAAACCTGTATGAACACAAAAGAAGATATTTTAAAGAATGTTGGGAGAATATGGAAAGATACCATGGAAGTAAATGGCTCCTTTTGTGTTCAACAAAGAGATAAATTCATACTGGTTTGAACAACATGAGGGTGATTAAATGATGACAACATTTTAATTTTTGGGTGAACTATCCCTTTAATTTTCTATTTTGTTGATATTTTGTCTGACGCTTTGTCTGGTTACCTCCTCAGGTCAACATATATATACTTTGCAAGCATCTTTTGGGCTGTAGGTTAAAACGCAGACTAAATAGACGAAATATCTCCCATAAAGAGGTATGAACCAGAAAGACTAATTCGCCACTGGTTTCATCAAGATTTTCCAATAGGGTTTTTGTGTGTAAAATAAAGCTAAAGCCTGTGGTAAATCTAACTTGACGATACTTTGAAATCTTGTTCTACTACGAAAACTGCACACACCCAATGCAGATTTTGAATTTTTTGTTTTTTAAAGCGTAAATGTTTTTAATAAGTAACTAGATAAGACCGTTTGGGGCATGAGTGTGTGCAGTTTACGTTGTAGAACAAGACATCAAAGTATTGTCAAGCTGTGTTTACAGTACATAGGCTTTATTTTACTCATAAATTGACAAAAAACATTTTATATATGAAGAGTTCAGATGCAAAAGCCTCTAAATGCCATTTGAAATTTTCTTCTTTAATGATGATTTTTATCAAACTAGTATATTTAAGTTCAGTAATTTCACTTAAATAACAATTAATAGGTAATTATCATTGCCATTTAAGTGAAATCACTGAACTTAAATATACAAGCTTGATAAAAATGATCATTCTAGTAGAAAATTTCAAATGGCACTTAGAGGCTTTTGCATCTGAACTCTTCATATATATATATATATATATATATATATACATACTATGAGATTATATATATATATATATATATATATATATATATATATATATATATCATAGTTTAACAAATTTCCCATAGGAAAATCTCCAAGAAACTAGCGGCGAATTAGACTTTTGTTTTGACGTCATACCTATGCTGTTATAGATGACCTGTGGTTACTGAAACATTGGTTGTGTCCCAATTCAGAGGCTGCATCCTTCGAGGACTCGAAGGTGGGACTGAGCGTTGATAAATGACTTTTTTGAAAGTGTGAGAACAAAACAGGGTTTACAAACTTTTAAATATGTTCACTATGGTGTATTTCTGTATGTAATAAAGAGTATAAACTATATGTAATTGTATCTTAGTAAGATATAAGTCGACATGTGAACCGCTTTATGTGAACAGTTGTTTTTATCTTTACATATATGAGTATGTTGAAACTTAATAGGATGCAGCCTCTGAATTGGGATGCAACAATTGTTTTTCAAGTGTTTATTTGGGATGATAAACTCCCTAAACCACCAAAACAGCAAGACCAAGCACAATCAACTGGTTTTGAGATGTTTTTAAAAGGTAGTTTAACTATTTTTTAAAAATGCCATCTTAAAACCCCACTGTGTAAGATGTCGTCTGCCTGATGCGTGTGCATAGACATTACCTTTCGATAATAATTCTTGAGCAGCAAATCAGCATATTATAATGATTTCTGAAGGATGATGTGACACTGAAGACTGGCGTAATGATGCTGAAAATTCAGCTTTGCCATCACAGAAATTAATAAAATATTTTCAAATAGATATTTCATAGATTATTTAAGAATTATACTGTTTTTGATCAATGAATGCAGCCTTGGTGAACATAAGGGACTTCTTACCAACCCCAACGACCAACAATTGAATGTGAAACGTTTTTAAAAGTTGAACAAGAATCAAGTTTACATACAAAAACTGCAAAGTTGTGCAATGTGTGTAAATCAGTCCATTGTCTATTGAGAATATGTTTACATTCCACATTGTGGAAGTTAATGCTTAACCATGGTTTTGGGTTTCACAGAGGAGATTTACGGAAATTGGTCTATTCCTCTCAACACGTCTCATATTTGGCACCCACGAATGCAAGAGGTGCGTGACTAATGTCTAAAGATTGAACCAGTTATCACTGCCTCGGTAACGTACTGCGTCCTGACCTGTGTGTTTGTGTCAATTCTCTGTAGATTCAGGGCGCTATCATTGTGTCCAGCTTGATTGAGGTGGTCATAGGGTTCGCTGGAATCCCTGGGATCCTGCTTAACTCAATCGGGCCCCTGACTGTCACCCCCACAGTGTCCCTTATCGGCCTGTCTGTCTTCCAGACGGCAGGAGACCGCGCTGGCAGCCACTGGGGCCTGTCTCTGCTGTGAGTTCTTGAGCTTTGGTGGACATGGGTGTGTTGAAAGTGCTATATAAATGCAGTCCATTTACCATTTGAATACATCTGTGTGTTTTGTTGTTTCAGGTGCATCTTCCTTATTGTTTTGTTTGCTCAGTATTTGAGGAACTGGGCTTGTCCTTTCCCCAGTTATTCCAGAGAAAAAGGCTGTCACGTCACACATGTGCAAATATTCAAGATGTTTCCCGTACGAACCCCCAGCTACATCCACTACATCATCATCATGCATTTTTGCCTTTTGATAATATTATAATTAGGGCTGTCAAATGATTAATCGCTATTAATTGTTATTAATCACTATTAATATATATATATATATATATATATATATATAAATACACACACATACATGTATATTTAAGAAAATATATATATATATATATAAATTATATATAAATCTATATACAGTATATACATAAAAATATTTCTTAAATATTAAAGCACAGTAAAATAATTATACACAGTGCACCCACATATATTATGTAAACACAAACTTTTATTTTGGATACGATTAAAGGTGTAGTTTACCTTTAAACTGATCATTTACAAGTTGATGTCGTCCAAGATGTCCATGTCTTTCTTTCTTCAGTTGAAAAGAAATTAAGGTTTTTGATGAAAACGTTCCAGGATTTTCTCCATATAATGGACTTCAATTGGAACCAAACGGTTCAAGGTCCAAATGTTGAGTTACAGTGCAGCTTTAAACGACACCAGACAATGAATAAGGGTCTTATCTAGCGAAACGATCGCTCATTTAAAAATAGATAAAAAAGTTTAAGTTTTATAAGCTCAAATGCTCGCCTTGCTCTGTTCTGTGATGAACGTCACGACTCTCCTGTTCAAACTCATCGAAATGAACAATTCTTTTTAGAGTCATGACTCGAAGGGTCCTAGCTAAGACCCTTATTCATCGTCTGGTGTCATTTAAAGCTCTTTGAAGCTGCACTGAAACTCTCATTTGGACCTTGAACCGTTTGGTTCCCATTGAAGTCCATTATATGGAGAAAATCCTGAAATTTTTTCATCAAAAACCTTAATTTCTTTTTGACTGAAGAAAGAAAGACGTAGACATCTTGGATGACGTGTGTGAGTAAATTATCAGCAAAAGTTTTTTTTTTTAAAGTGAACTACTTAAATCATTTGACAGCCCTAATTATAATAAATACACAGAGTATTTATTATCAAAATTAATTAAAGTTCCTGATTGGCCTTGGAACAAAGTTCACATTTACCCCATGTGGTGCAAGTTATCAACACGTTTACAGATTGAAATGCTCACTTCTGAACATTTTGTCCTTCGTAACTGATTATCCTGATTCCAGTAGATCATCATGGCGATCATGTTGGTATGGCTGGTTTGCTATATTCTCACCCTGACGGATGTGCTGCCGAATGACCCAAATCAGTACGGCTACAAGGCTCGCACCGACTCCCGGGGCGATATTATGACCCGGGCACCGTGGTTTCGTTTCCCCTATCCATGTAAGGACTTTGCTTGCTTCCTGTAACACCCATGATTTATAGAAGCTTGTTTATCAGAAAATGTCACTATGACTTTTACCTAATCTAAACTTTCATTTTATTTCTCCACAGTAAAACAATTAGAAGGGAATCATATTGGCGGAGCGATGGCCAAACTCTTTCCAAATCAGATCATTTTCTTGATTTTGTGTGTGTCACAGGTCAGTGGGGTTTGCCGAGAGTGACGTTAGCGGGCGTGCTAGGCATGTTTAGTGCCACTCTAGCTGGTATTGTTGAGTCTATCGGGGATTATTACGCCTGCGCCCGCCTCTCTGGAGCTCCACCTCCTCCTGTGCACGCTATAAATAGGTAAGAACAGCAAGCAGTAGGTCATATCGTGACGATTCAGATTTTCCTTTTTTAAATGACTGTGAAAACTGCTTGTTAACCCTGAAAAGCCTGATATATAAAATAAGAGCTTTTATAATGATAGTATATATATATATTTTTTTTAATGGAACAGTTTAGTGAACCATGTGATCTTTGTTGAGTATCATATTTTATATATCAGGCTTTTATGGCTCATATACAGCGATAGTTCACCCAAAAAACAACAGTAGTTGATGGACCCCATTGAATAACATAGTATGGCAAAAAAATGGGGTCCTATCAACTGCTTGGTTACCGACATTCTTCAAAATATCTTCTTTTGTGTTCAGCTGAAGATAGAAATTCATACAGGTTTGGAACAACTTGAGGGTCAGGAAATGACACTTGAGGAAAAAGAAATCGCTTCAATTTTATTCAGAGCCCCAAACTAAGGAAAAATTCGCAAATTAGTGCAGTTGCTGATATTTATACGGCAAAGTTGAAGATCTGTTCTTTAAATTCTTTTGTTAAACAGACTACTTACATAAAATGCATATCAGTTGTCACTCTACATCTAATAATATGTCTTTGTAATATGATACTTAAATGCTTAGTTTTATGATGGAAGGATGATTGAGACTGAGTACAAATAAATGTTCCTCAAAAATACCTCCATAAAAAATAAAAACAAAAAAATCATTGTCAAAAAAATCAAGGGCAAAAATGTAATTATATATTTTTTTTTTTAAACAAGATATGGCCCCTTCAATATTTGTTGGATTTAGTTTCATGGTTTTTGTGCTGTATTTCTTTTCTAGGGGGATCTTTACAGAAGGAGTGTGCTGTATCATTGCGGGGCTGCTGGGAACAGGAAATGGATCAACCTCTTCAAGTCCTAATATAGGGGTGCTTGGCATTACAAAGGTGAGATAATGCGAGACAGAAGTGGGTAAATGCAGTTTTTGTGACAACTGATCAGGGAGTGAAACTGATATCAGGTGTATTACAGACACACTATTCATTCCTTTCCTGTTGTCTCCCCAGTTTCTCTGTTTTCAGAGTCATCATTCATTTTGTAAATGTATGAGTGACAAGTCGTGGTTTTTCTTGTGTCTTGATTTCTCCTACAGGTGGGAAGTAGGAGAGTTATACAGTATGGAGCAGGCATAATGTTTTTATTGGGAACTATTGGGAAGTTCACCGCCCTGTTTGCCTCCTTACCTGACCCTGTCCTTGGAGGGATGTTCTGCACCTTGTTTGGTAATTGGACCTATTTGCATTTGCAGATGTTTTGTCTAAGCTTTGTCCACAGGGTGTCAGTATTGAGCTCAGAAACTCCCTAGTAAGGGCCTGTCCCAAATGGCACACTTCATGTGTACGAAGACTTGTGGTGGACAATGGCTGTCGTTTACACTGGTCCGTTAAAGGGCTAGTTCACTTTGAAATTAATTTATGATATGTTTTAGCTGACCTCAAGGGCATCCAACATGTTGGTGTCTTTGTTTCCGCAATACTTTCAATTTTTATATTTTTAGGTCAAACCGTTCTTGTTTGTCAGTCATATAATGGAGGTCTATGGTCACCACCTCAAAGAGCGTGCACAGAGAAGTCCAGATTAAACATGAATTAATGACTCGTAAATGTAAGTACACATTGATGGCCTAAGACACAAAATGAGCGGTTTGTGTGAGAAAACGAACCATATTTACATCGTTTTTACCTCATGTAACCACAGCCACGTCCAAGTGATCTGAGGGCGCGGAGGCGTCGGTCTGCGCAAGCGCCGGAAGTGATCTAAGAGAATTAGGTTTAAAATGAGAAAATGATGGTCGTGGTAAAAAATGTTTTCAATGTTGTTGCTTTTTCACTATTTTGATCAAATAAATGCAGCATTGGTGAGCATGACATTTTTCAAAAACGGTTTTACAAATCTTACAACCCCACACTTTGGAACTGTAGTGGCCTATATATGTATTTTGTGTAGTTTTAAACTTGTTTTCTGTTTTGGTTTGTACACAGGTATGATTACAGCCGTTGGACTGTCAAACCTTCAGAATGTGGATCTGAACTCCTCCAGAAATCTTTTTGTTCTGGGTTTCTCCATGTTTTTTGGCCTCATGTTGCCTAATTATCTGGACACACATCCCGGCAGCATTAAAACAGGTTCATGTTTGATGCTGTTTTCTGATATATTTTCTTTTGCAACTAGAAAGCTGTGGATGTTGTCAAATATTACTGTGAATACACATTCTTTTGATTGATTTTAACAGGTGTGGACGAGCTGGACCAAATTATCACAGTGCTCCTGACAACAGAGATGTTTGTAGGGGGGTTTCTAGCATTTGCACTTGATAACACAATCCCAGGTATGCATCCGACAGAGTGACTCAGAATATACAAATTCTTTAGATAAATAGACAGATATATAGTAATGCATATAGTAATATATAGTAATAGATAAATAGTAATGCAAGCTGTTCTACGTTCACCATGTTTACATTGTGTGCAGGCACCAGAAAAGAGCGAGGACTGGTAGAATGGGCGGCTGAGAGTTCTTCGGGAGCAGGAACGGTGACAACGAACACTTATAACTTTCCAATTGGGATGGGGTTGGTCCAGAAGCTGGGCTGCATGCGTTACCTGCCAATCTGTCCCACTTTCCAGGGCTTTAAGTCATCACGCCACAAATATGAGGAGGACGACATAAAAATAAACAAAGGTGTGACTGATGCTCCAGATGAAACGGTCTGCACCAAAATTTAGCCCGATTTTTTTTTTTTTGTTTGTTTGTTCCTTTTAACAACTGAGCACCAGTTCTGCTATCACACAAAATTTTTATTTGTTTCATTTTGCATCACAAACAAATAAGAAAAATGTTCTATTAAAAAATGGGTGCATATATTTAAAGGAAAACTTGGACAAAGGGGATTTGTTCGTCTGACATCCACCCAAATGTGAAATTTGAGTTCATTATAAAGAATATGATCTTTTACTGAAATGACTTCAAATGAAAATGAAGGTCAGGTTTTTTTTTTTTATTACATCTTGATTGTGTACAAAATACGCAAGTGATTAACACTAAACACAATATGCTCAGAAATGTTTAGCTTCAGAAAGTGGTGTTTAAAATACACACAAATCATTATGTATATACATATTATTGTAACTAATAATGTTTATAAATACTAAGAGTGTATTATGTATTCTATAAGAGCCATAAGACAAATTATCATTTGGATATTCGGTTTTGACAAAGAGGTCCTTAAGTTATTTTGTATTAAAATATAACTTAAAATATATCTTTCTGTCTGTCTAAAATCTGTCTGTCAATTTTGATTTATTTGTAACACTTTATTAGGTTCAATAAGGGTAATAATTAGGGCTGTCAAACGATTAATCGCGATTAATTGCATCCAAAATAAAAGTTTGTGTTTACATAATATATGTGGGTGCACTTTGTATTTATATATATAATTATTATATATATATATATATATAAATACACACATGGTTGTATATATTTAAGAAATATTTTCATATATATATACTGTATATAGATTTATATATAATTTATATTATATATAAATATAAATATTTTATATATAAATAATATTTTTTCTTAAATATACATGCATGTGTGTGTGTATGTATATTATATATAATATAATTATACATAGCGCACCCACATATATTATGTAAACACAAACTTTTATTTTGGATGCGATTAATCGTTTGACAGCCCTATATTACTTGTGTATATAGTCAATAATACAGCCTAAATCTCATATAACGGCTCTGTGATTTGAAGCAAATGGCCCTTATAAAGAAGCAGAATGGACAAAATTTCTTGGGAAAATACAGTTTAAAAGCAGTTCACATCAAAATTGTATAGTCATTTGAGACACTAAT